TGGTATTGCGACGGATCACAGCGGGGAAAACAATCGCACGGGAGGCAGGGTGCTTAAGAAACATCAGCTTTTAAGGCGTCAAAGCAGATCACCTCGAAAGGAGAAACAGCAATAGCGATGTTGTCTGCAACCGCGGCCGACAAATGGGGCCGACATAGCTCCGCGGCCGTTGAGTATTATTGTTTTCGTGGCGAATTCCTTTCTTGTCTTGGATCTTGGCCTTGACATTGTCTATGGTGCCAAAGATTTCTGCCTCAAAGGCGATTATCTCGTTGGTGTGAATCATTGACTCAAGCGTGATCAGATCAAACGATTTTTAAGCTGCAGGTACCCTCTGTCGAGCGGGCGTTGATTTGGGGCTGCCGCTTGTACAGCGCGATGTCGTATGAGAATAGATGTTGTAATGCTTCGAATGCGGATGGCGTTTTTTGTAATTACTGTTTAATCGAATAAAATGTTTCATTCTAAAATTTTATCTCGTTCTGAACTTTTGTATGTTTAATTTGAGCATCTTATTTTGAATGCCGGCACGTTTTGTCTTGTTCATGCGGTTGCACTAGCTTTAGCCTACATATCCCTGCTTAGATGTGTAAATGTTTTCATTTTAGAAGGGCGTTCCGAATCTGGAGGCTTTATCGGCCCAAGGACGTCATGCGCCGATAGGGCTCTGAATCCGGAGGCTTTATTTGGCCAATCGTGACATCCACGAAGGGCACTCCGAATTTGGAGGCTTTATCAGCCCAAGGACGTCATGCACTGATGAGGCTCCGAATCCGGAGGCTTTATTTGGCCAATTGTGACATCCACGTAGGGCGCTCCGAATCCGGAGGCTTTATTGGCCCAAGGACGTCATGCGCCGATGGGGCTCCAAATTTAGAGGCTTTATCGGTCCAAGGATGTCATGCGCCGATGGGGCTCCGAATCTGGAGACTTGATTTGGCCAATTGTGATATCCACGAAGGGCGCTCCGAATTCGGAGGCTTTATTGGCACAAGGACGTCATGCGCCGATGGGGCTCCGAATCCGGAGGCTTTATTTGGCCAATCGTGACATCCACGAAAGGCGCTCCGAATCCGGAGGCTTTATCGGTCCAAGGACGTCATGCGCCGATGGGGCTCCGAATCCGGAGACTTGATTTGGCCAATCGTGATATCCACGAAGGGCGCTTCGAATCCGAAGGCTTTATCGGTCCAAGGACGTCATGCGCCGATGGGGCTTCGAATCCGGAGACTTGATTTGGCCAATCGTGATATCTACGAAGGCGCTTCGAATCCCGAGGCTTTATCGGCCCAAGGACGTCATGCGCTGATGGGGCTTCAAATCTGGAGACTTGATTTGGCCAATCGTGATATCCACGAAGGGCGCTCTGGATCCGGAGGCTTAATCGGCTCAAAGACGTCATGCACCGATGGGGCTCCGAATCCGGAGACTTGATTTGGCCAATCGTGATATCCACGAAGGGTGCTCTGAATCTGGAGACTGGCCAATCGTGATATCCACAAAGGGCGCTCCGAATCCGGAGGCTTTAGAACTGGATTGTAGAGTCAGTAAGCAGGCATCTTTGCATTACAGAAGTGGAAAGTGTACATGGTGAGCCGTTTAGAACCAATATCATTCCCACAAGTCGAGTTTTATGATAGAATTCGCGCAAGTGCGTTAGAAGCAAGGTCGCGTGCCTAATTCTACAGCAACCTGCCTTCTATCGTCCAAAAATACCTTCAGGGGCGACTTTATCGGCGTGCAGCGGCGCAGCTGGATGCGTTGATCAGACGTCTCGAGAAACTGCTACCGGTATCGCCTACAGCTTCCGTGGCTTCCTATCACGAAGCCGTCCGACTTCGTCGAGACTCTCGATTTGACGCTTCAATGGAGTTGACCTGCGTCTCCGTTGGTGTCATTCTAGAGAGGAGATAGCATGCTTGCGCGGATTGCCTGGATCCCCAGATTTTCTCAACGCCGTGTTCGGTTGGGAAGCGTAGCAGCTGATGATAGGTGCTTGGTACGGCCTGAATAGTATGCAACCAAGTCTACCCCATGATGAGGTTATACGGCAAAGGAAGCTTGACGACCAGGAATTCCACTTCCACCGTTTGGGAGCCCTCCCGAATGGGTAATGTGATTTTCCCCAACAGATACTCCGGATTCGCGTTGAAGCCGAACAATGGATGGGGAGCCGGAAACAGGTCTGATTCGTTGAAGCCGAGTTTGATGAAGGTCTCGTAATACATGACCTCCGAAGTGCTCCCCTGGTCAACGAGGACGCGTTCAACAGTAAACTGGTTCACGTGTAGTTCAATGACCAATGGATCAATATAGGGGAGTGTTATGCCGATAAGATCGGAATCGTCGAAGATAATGCTCGGCGCTTGGTGGGGGCTGTTTCATTTGTGCGCGTTGCTCCTGGGGGGCTGAATGGATTGCATGCACGGTACGTGGTGTTGAAAGACTGTATATCATATGTATAACGCCGAGGGGAGGTGACTCCTACCGAAGGGCGACAGTTTTGATTGTGCTTTTCCGAACGTGTTGCTGGAACCGACCATTTTGGACCAATTCCTCAAGGTGGTCTTTCAAGGCATAGCAGTTGTCCGTCTCATGACCGTGATCTTTGTGATATTCACAACATCTATCCCGCCTTCTCGTGTCAGGAGGTCCCACCATCTTGGACGGCCATTTGAAGAATGAAAGATGTTGGATCTTGGGCATAATTGAGCTAATTGGCTCTGACAGCTCCGTATATTTCTTGTCGGCGCGCTTTGTGCGCCTGCTATCGACCTGCAGTTGCTTATTGGTTTGGTGTGGGCACCGATCGCTGGATCAGTGAGAATCCCGTCTCTTGTCTCGTTTAGCCTGCTGTCGTGGTTCAGGGCTTTGAGGTGGTGCGGAACTTATTGGCTGAGCAATTTCGGGAGGGGCCGTTTTGTTGACCACGTGTCCAGCTTTAACCGGCAAGGCGTCGTCTTCCACTTTGTAGTATTTCTCTATTTTCTTCATCAACCCCCAGACTGTTTTAGGGGGTCTTCTAGTCAAGGAACTGTGGAGGGCACTATCTGGGTGTAGTCCCATTTTGAAGGCGGTGATGGCCATGAAGTCGTTGCAAGCGTCATCGACCAGGTTAAAGCATTCCCAATATCGCGCCGAATAAGCTCTTAGTGTTTCTCTTGGCAGGATCTGCATTGCTCAGAGGGAGTCGGCTTGCTTTGGTTGGACTTCGTTGGTAATGAATCTGGCCCTGAAGGATTTCTGTAGTTGGTAGAAGGTTTTGATCGAAGTCGGCTCCAGTTTATAATACCACCGGACTGCCAACGGTCCCAAACTGCTGGGAAATATTCGGAACATGAGGGCCTCGTCGTCTGCATGCAATGTCATGGCTTGCTTGTAGTGGCGGATGTGGTCGGTGGGGTCTGATTTGCCGTCGTACAGGGTGAACGACGGTGCTTTAAATTTCTTTGGTAGCGCAGCCCTTGTGATCCGTCGTACGAAGGGATCGTGTTGGTCTTTGTCCAAACTTTTCCTTCTTCGCTTCTGTATTGTACGGGGACTTTCTTCGGAAGAACTAGTGGTTTCATGTCGTCCCTTCTTCCTGGGCTCCGGGGATAATGAGTCGGAGTCGCTATCAGCGTTTTGTCGTGCTCGAGGTTGACGACCACCTGCCTTCAGAGATCGTTCTGGATTTAGGCTCGAGGTTGACGACCACCTGCCTTCAGAGATCGTTCTGGATTTAGGCGCGCAGTTTGTTTGGGCTTCGCCATTTCCAAGGCCAAATCTTCACGAAGACGTTCATTCTTAGCGATCATGTTCTCCAGCCTCTGTTCATTTTGCTTTTCTTGTTCTATGATAGCTTGCATTGTCTTATGCTCCGAAGTCGATGGTGAGGCGAAATTCAAGGCACGTCGTGCGGCGATAGTCTCTGGTCCAAACAAATTTGTTGGAGTAGTTTCATCGTGAGCTATAGGATCGACAGTGATTGTCGGAGGATCTTCCGTCACGCTCGCCATGGATGTGCTTGATTATCTCCCATAGACGGCGCCAGTTGTGGGGATGTGGTTTGGAAATACTCTTCAGGATCTTGGGGAACGCTCATGATCCTCTTCTGGTCGCCTGAAAAAGAATAAACACTCTGGTCGAGGGTGCCGGAATTAGCACTCCGACGGGCAAGTTGGTATCTACACTCGAGGAAACTTGTATTCTAAGTTAAGCACAGTAATTCTCACATACCTCTTTAGGACTGAAGATCTTGTATTTATAGTATTCTCCTGGATCCTTGGGGCCTGGCCCACTCCTAGTCCTTGCCATGTACTTCTACACGGCCCTTGTTTCACTGGTAGGAATTCTGGCTCTTTTATTCGGCCCCTCAATTGGATAGGGTCGATGCAGAATAGAAGTTATGTTCTGGACCGGATTGGTCCGCTTCTGTTGATCCAAAATTATTCGGCTCCCGCAAGCAGAAAATCAAGCAGATTTTTCTACGGTGAACAGATAGAAATTCAAAAACACATATAATCTTGTAATTATCACTCAAAATCGTATCAAGCATATAATCATAATCATAATTAAGATCATTTAGCATAATACGGAACATGGTTAACACACATTATAAAGCTCATCTTGTTGCCTGGGAGTTTAGTCAAGAATATGAAATTGATTATGAAGAAACATTTGCTCTTGTTGCCCTTCTTACTTCAATTCGCAACTTATTTGCAGTTGCTGCTGCTCACTACTAGAGTCTTTGTCTGATGGATGTCAAGAATGCATTTCTCAACGGTGACCTCACTAAGGAAGTTTATATGTAATTCTTCATGATTCTTCTGTTCCATCAAACAAAGTCTGCAAACTTCGTCATGCTTTGTATGGAGTGAAACAAGTTTTGCGTGCCTGATTTGCCTAGTTCGGTTCCACCATTCGTGACTTTGGATTCTCTTCCAGTGCTTATGATTTTACCCTATTTATGTGTAAGACGGAGTGTGGTACTATTCTTCTTCTTTCTCTATGTAGATGATATGGTCATCACTGGGGATAACAGAGTGGTATCTGTAATCTCAAACAGTTCTTCAATCGCCAATTTGAGATGAAAGATTTGGGTTTACTTAGTTACTTGGCTTGAAAATTTCCCATGATTCATCTGGTTACTTTCTCACCCAGGCCAAGTATACATCTGATTTCTTGGCTCATGTTGGTCTTACCGATTGCAAGACTGGCACCACTCCAGTTGATCCTCAGACTTGTCTAACACCTCTTGACGATCACCTTTTGTCGGATGCTACTTTTTATCTTTAACTAGTTAGCAGTCTTGTCTATCTCACTGTTATTTTTTTAAACATTGTCTATGCTATTTACATTGTCAGTCAGTTTATGGTTGCTCTTCGGTCTTCACACTATGCTACTCTGGTTCGCATTTTGTGCTATCTCAAAGGAACTATGCTTCATAGTCTTCACTACTCAGCTTACTCTTCTCTACAATTACATGCATTTTTTGATGTAGATTGGGCAAGGGATTCTACTGATTGCCATTCCACTACAGGGTTCTACTTCTTCTTGGATAAGTCTCTTATTGCTTGGCGTAGCAAGAAACGAACTCTTATTGCTCGTTCTAGTACTGAAGTTGAGTATCATGCTCTTGCTAACACTACTCAGGAGCTTGTATGACTTGGTTAGCTTCTTTTCTGACATAGGAGTTTCTCATTCTGCTGCCACCAACCTTTATTGTGACAAACAAAGTACTATTCAGATTGCATATAATGATGTCTTCCATGATTGCACCAAACATATTGAGATTGATTATCAATTCATACGGCAACATGTTACTAGTGGCATTGTTCGTCTTCTCTTTGTTACGTTTGTCGATCAGACATCCAATCTCTTCGCCAAACCTTATCTTTCAGGATGCTTCTCTGATTTACTTTCTAAGCTTAAGTTGATATCTATATTATCACCTTGAGCTTGAAGGGGGTGTTAGCTATATATATTTGTATTACCATGTGTTGTTTATTACTGTAGTTATATTTATTGTATGCTACTCTTTCTCAGCCTATATATATAGGTCTCTTTTCTATTATATTCTGTACATCATTACTATAATAGACTTACATAGATGTTCTCTCTACCTTACTCCACTAACAATCCCATTGTCACATTTTAATAATGACACATTTGGTAAAAATTTAATAGGACAATAGTGCATACAATATAATGATATAAATAATCTGACATTAAAATCTCTCAAAGGAAGCATAGCCACATTTGGAAATCAAACGTAGTATCACTCAAGAATCTCCATAAAATATAGTGAAATGATCTCACGGTGTACCTTTCCGATTCAATGAGACTTATTGTCTATAATAAAATTTATGAAATTTTCTAGTAAATACTTTTTTGGAATGAAATTTCTATGTAAATTTCTCTTAATTATACTTAGGTTAATTTGCTATAATTTATTTAATTTTATTTATTTATTGTATGGTAAATTATTTATAAGTCTTATTTGAAAGATTTATGCAAGATATGATCCTATGAAAAAACTTATAACCCAATGGGTCCTATGATTTTTTTGTGGACACATCTACCCCTAATCTTAATTAAATAAAACCTGATTAATGATAATACCATATATGAGAAATCTAATTTTACCATAGATTGTGATAATATCTATATGGTTAGAAATTTAAAATTCAAAATAACCTAATTAAATGGAAATACCATATATGAGAAATCTAATGTTACCATAACTTGTGATCATATCTATATGATTGGAAATTTGAAATTCAAAAATGTAAATGTAACATGTAGCATCCCAATCCCAATGTGGCATTCCCATATGCTTCTGAAATTCAAAATAATTTGATTAATTGCAATACCATAAATGGGAAATCCAATGTTACCATAGATTGTGATCATATTCATATGACTGGAAATTTGAAATTTAAAACATAAATGTAACATGTAACATCCCAAACCCAATGTGACATTCTCAAACCTAACGTGACATTCCAATACTCCATCGTTAAATTATGAATAATGTAACCATCTAAATGCAATATGTAACATCTCATCCCAACCCAACCCATGTATTGAACCACCATCACCCTTAAGCTAGTGTAACTAACTTCAACATCGAGTGATAGGATTTAATCCACATTCAATTGCAAACCCAAATCCCCAATAATTTTGCGCAACGTACTAATACACATTCACACACATATACAATCGAACAAACACACATATGTCATCTACTACATGGTGTATGTGGATTAATGTTACAAACTAAATGTAACGTGCATTGTTACACGATCATTCAAGTCCCAATGTACAATTGCCATCCTACAATGTGGTTCACATTTGACATCCAATTAACAACTAAAACCAAATACCCCCCCAACCCAATCCTTGAACCCATACACACTGCCCCACACATCTAACATATCAAAACGCATCAACCATCACAATGTCAAATACACACATTCAATTAGAATATTGGCCAAAGTGTGCCTATCAATAAATGTTATAGATTGTGAATACCCTATTAAAGATGAACAATCCACACTTCAACAAACAACAACACACTTCAACAAAAAAATATAAATATATATACCTCTTCCCCTCAACCGTTTGGAGTCAAAATCTGTCAAAAGAATCAACACACAACCCTCAAACTTCATCATATCATTGACCATATCCACATCTATTTAAGCAACATTTTGAAAATGCACTGGAATCCCGCGATTAAGGCAAAAAAAAAACCCGCACGGTCATTGCCTGTAAACTTGTCTTTCCTAAAAACATTCCCAAACGTGATATGATAAATGAGAAAATAAGGTACAATATGAAAATAAATTAGGGGTATAATAATACGCTAATATTATTCATTTACAACTCATAGAATCTTATGGAACACATTCCTATATATTTAAATAGGACTTCAAACTCTAAAAGCATATTTATAAGATTTCACATTAAATAAGTCTTCCAAATAGGACTTATAAATAATTTCTCCTTTATTGTAAATTGATTTTGGGGCCTATGAAAGTAAATTTTGATTACAATATGTGAAAGTGAATTATTATTTTTTAATTTTAATTATCTAAAGAGACCCATTTTATTATTTTGCCTTGGGTTCCCGAAAACTCAGGGTCGGCCTTGACCGCAATTACTATTGTGTTCAATACACAGCAGCAACCCTATTCCTCTAGTATACTTTTCATAATTGTTTCACAAATTTCATAAAAATTAAAAAATATAAATAATAAATTGTCATAATAAAAATTAAAAAATATCATAATTTCACCACTCGTAACTTTAATATACCCACTATTAATTTACTATTCACAACTTAGGCCTCGTTTGGCAAGTGGCTTTTTTAGTCAAAAAGTTAAAAAGTTACTAAAAAAGTCAAAAAGCCAATAACCTATACCAAAAAGTCAAATATTACATTTTCTCTCTACTTTTTGCACATCTTTCGTAAAAAGTCAAAAAGTCATCCCAAACATACTAGTTTTTTTTTACATCATATTTTAGTCAAAAAGTCAAAAAGTTACTATAAAAGCCTGTTCCAAACAAGGCCTTAATCTCAAAGTAGCATAACACACCATAATCATTCATAACTTTTATCACAAAAATCATAACTTTCTTATGATGTGCAACATTCTAAAGTGCATGTTATAGATTCTCCTTTGAAGAAAAATATATAATGACAATTATGATTAGAAGGGAAAAATTTATGTAGAAAATGGCCAGAAAGAGCATGCGACATGGAGTTTTAATTTAAATGAGTTTTTTTAGTAAATAAAAAAATTATTAACAAATTTTGGTTTCAATTTTTGAAGAGAAAACTTAAAAGGGGTAGATTTAGAAAGAATTTAATAATTAATGAAAAATTTCTTAATTTGTTTCATTATTGTGGGGACATATTTTTTGGGTAGTCCACGTGGCCGAGGTTGTTAGTTGAGGTGCTACATGTTTGCCGAGATATTTGGGGCACTGCCAAGGTATTCTGCGACAATACCGGAATCCGAGATAAGTGGATAAGGGACAAGAGTCCTAGAATGGGAGAAGACTTCAGTTTGGGTAAAGATGAGACTCTTAGAGAGTTTATCCTAATTCAACTGGGAGTCCAAGATTAGCAGTAATCCTAAGTCCATTAGAGCTAGGCTTCTATTGGGAACTAGGATTGTGTTGGCTATAAAAGGGAGGCACCCCCGTGGGTCTTAGATATGCTTTTGATATTCTATCTAGTGAGTTAAGCACTATTGGTTATCTTTGAGAGATATTGAGTACTGACTTGATCGTCGGAGTGCCCCCGGGCGGACGAGTCACCGCCGGAATCTTCTCTTTCTGTTACAGGTTAGCTAGGTGTCATCTATTCTGCCAGTTCTCTCCAGCTGAATACTGAGTTGGGCAGTGTAATCGGAAAATCACCCACACAATTTGGTGCCGTCTGTGGGAAAGAAAGGAGAATAGATGGCCAGTAACAAACAGAAGGAAAAGATTGGGGACAACACCCCTACTGAGAGTGGGAAACATATTGACCTTGGCGTCGAAGAAGACAACTACAACGAAGAAACTCGTGATAAGAATCACGGAGAAGAGGACGTCGGCCAGGAGGGTGATGTGCTGAAGAAAATAAACTGAAGCAAGTATTATAACGAGGACGACCTCCAGCCACCGTTCCCATCACAAGATACGCCAATTCCAGCAGCCAAGAAAGATGCCCAAGCAGGGGGGCATAAGACAACTCCTACGACTTCTTAGCACGATAGGACCAAGGAACATTCTCACCGGCCTTCAAGGGAGGTCGGACGAGGAGAATCAAGAAGGGGAGATTCACAGAGGACACATCGCACCAAGGAAGCTGACTCCAAAGAACATCAGCATGTTCACGGGAGGGACCTCTGTTTCAACACGACCAATGGAGGGAGGTCCAAAAGGACTCGCAATGACACAGGAAGTAGTGCACCAAAGAGGCTAAAATTCGGAGATAGCTGAGCTCTTGGACGAACCAAGGAGGATCTGAGGGATTACCTCCAGAGAAAGCGCAAGATGCCGAGGTAACCTCACTTGTCAAGCCGAGATAACACTGGATATGAGAAGACAAGAGCTTAGCCCAAGTAAGCCGATCCCGGATTCCAGATCTCGGATCCCAAATCCCCGAAGACAGGATCTCGGCCTAAGATAATTAAGTCCGAGAAGAGAAGAGCTTGTCGAGATGATGTTTAACACTTGTTGAAACTTGAGAAAAGTTTACAAGTTGAAGTTAAACCGAGATTATGTTTAACACTTGTTGAAACTTGAGAAAAGTTTACAAGTTGAAATTAAATCGATATGATGTTTAACACTTGTTGAAATTCTGAGAGAATTTACAAGTTGAAGTTAAACCGAGATGATGTTTAACACTTGTTGAAACTTGAAAAAAGTTTACATGTTGAAGTTAAACCGTTATGATGTTTAACACTTGTTGAAATTCAAAGAGAATTTACAAGTTGAAGTTAAACCGAGATGATGTTTAACACTTGTTGAAATTCTGAGAGAATTTACAAGTTGAAGTTAAACCGAGATGATATTTAAACACTTGTTGAAACTTGAGAAAAGTTTACAAGTTGAAGTTAAACCGATATGATGTTTAACATTTGTTGAAACTTGAGAAAAGTTTACAA